CTAAACGTGCTGCAGTGACAGGACAGCTCCCACAACAAAGAATCATCTGCCCGAAATGCTGTTAGTGCCGGGGTTGAGGAAGCTCAGTGTAGCGTTCAGAGCAGTGTCTGGCGCATGGCAAACGTTCGTGCCTGTTGGTTATAATATTCAACGCCATCTCACTCTGGCGCCTGTGCTCAGGTCACTTGTCACCATGAGCTTGTGACTAGAGCCTTTTCCTTCACTCCAGCCTCTCGTATTTATGATGAGGATAATGAAGACGCTGCTAATTCTAATTATTACTGTTATTATTATAGAGTATAATCGTTCCCGTTTCTTGGGCACCTCGTATAAGCCCAGTGTTTTGCCAGCCATCTCATTTACAATTCTTACAGTCCTCACCGTCAGAGGAGTCTGATGAGCCCTCACTTTGCCGAGGAAACTGAGGCTCAGAGAGGTGAAACATCTCACCCAAGACTGCGAGGAGTCCGGATTGAGCTCATCCTGCTGATCTCTGGAATGTTGTCACGGAGCCACTGCCCTGGGCTCGGTATTTCATCGGCGTCAGGGTGGCGAGGGCAAGGGCAGGCACTCGGAGAGGAAGCGAGGGCTGCCCCAGAGCTCTATTGCCACTTTTGGGGGAAGCTCTTGGCACCCTCCCTGGCCGGCTTAGCTGGCCCTGGCTGGCTGGCTGCCCAAGAGGAGGCCCAGCCACGCCTCTACCGGCTCATCCCGAAGTTCTGCATTCTTGGTCCCTCCCTCACGCTGGCTTTTGGCTTCTCTGAGCCGGCTGTGGGCTCTCAGCCTTGCATGGTTTCTGCAGCCCTGCCCTTCAGCTGAGGACTTTGCCCCACTGTCATCTGATCCTTGGTGCCTGCTGTGACCTCTTGGGCAAGGGTCTCACCAAGATCATCTTTCAAAGCCCCCATCTCTATCTCTGTCTTCCCATTTTACAGTTATGGAAACTGAGGCCCAGAGAGGGAAAGGGACATGTCCACAGTCACATAGAGTGTGGGGGTGGGGAGCTTGGACTGGGCAGAGGACTTCCAGGGCCCTGCCTCCTTCCCCAGGCCACGTGGAGGGAAAGCTCGTGAGTGTGGAGAGAAAGGCTTTGCATTCGGGAAGCTCAGAGCAGCCGTCAGGGCTTTGGCCACCTGACTCGCTGGGGGGGCGTATTTCCTCCACAGGCTGGGCTCACAGGCCTCTGGCCACGCTCTCTGCAGGACAGGAGCTAGAGGCCACTCACCAGCCGGGCAGTCTCGGTGAGTCACTTGTCCTGTCTGAATCTCAGATGGGAAGAGCCCAGAAGCAGCACATATTAACATTTATCAAACTGACATTTATTGAGGACTTCCTGTTCCAAGCACCTTTCTAGGAACTGGCCACAGTAGGGGCTGAATAAATATTCGCTGAATGAATTGGCTCTCAAACTACCCTGCCCCGGGTAGTTTCTGGCAGCTTCATATGAAAATGGGGAAGTCGAGGTTCAGCCAGGTCCAGGAGTTCCCCAGGGTGACTTCACTAATAAACAAACCTAGGGTTCAAATTCAGGCCGTCGGACGCTACAGCCAAAGTTCTTGACTTCTCAACTTACGGATCTGGTTATCCATTGCTTAGCAGCATATAATAACCACCATTTTATTCTGCTCGGGGATTCCATGGGTCAGGAATTGGGACTGGTCTCTGCTCCATGGTGTCTGGGGCCTCTGCTGGGAAGACTGAACAGTAGCGGGTGATTCATGCTGGGGACTGCAATCATATGGAAGCTTCTCCACTCGCATGTCTGATGCTCTGCTGAAACGACTCAAGGGTTAGGTTCAGCTCCAGCTCTTGACTGAAGCACACGCATGTGACCTTGCGCTTGGCCTGGGCTTCTGACCGAGCTCCGAGAGGAGCAAGCAGAGAGCGAGGGGGCCTGGCAGCATCGGCTTGGTGTTTACCGCCAGACTATGAAGTCTCATAGCGTGACTTCTGCCGTGTTCTATCGGTTGGAGCAGTCACAAGCCTATCAGATTCAAGGGGAAGGGACACAGATCCCGCCATTTATTTTTATAAATAAACGGATGCGTGTTATGCAAAAGCAAACAGCAGAGACCCGATCCAGGTTGGGGATCAGAAAAGGCGTGTTTGAAGAAGTGACCTTGAGGCTGAGACCTGAAGGGCAGGTGGCAGACAAGGGAAGGACATTCCGGGCAGAGGGAAGGAGGGATGGGAAATGAGGCTAGAAGTATAGGCAGGTCGGGGACCAAAGCCATCACAAGGCGTTTGGATTTTACCCCCATGGTCCTGGGTCACCACTGAGGATTCTAAGAGGAGACTGATAGGCCAGCTTTGTGAGCCTGGAAGACCTTTCCAAACCAGAGCTATCTAGAAGAAACGTAGGAAGCCCGTGATGAGGCTGTGGGCCGGGCGAGAGGTGCTGCTGGGTTGGACCAGGGCGGTGGCCATGGGAACAGACGAAAGTAGTGGATACAAGTCGTATCAAGGGAGGAATCTATTAGTCGTTAACGGGATGTGGTGTCAGAAGTGGCTCTTGGAGTGCCTGACGGTGCCATCTGACGAGACAGGGAACTTCGAGAGGGGTGCAGGGGCTACGGCAGGGAAGACAGTGTGTTCAGGTCACTTCTTTTACACCTGGGGCCTCCCCAAGTCATCTAGCGGCACAGCGGTTAAGAGCCCTGGTGCTGGCGCTTGCAGCCTGGGTTCAAATCCTCTCTGCCACTTGCCAACTGGACAAGTCTGGGTGGGTCCCCTAACCCTGCTGAGTCTCTTTATCTGTAAATTGGGGACAATAGCGCCCCCACATGGGGGTTGATGTGAATATCAAACTGATGCCTGGACGTGTCTGCTGTTGGAGGTGTGGTCAGTGCTCAGTAAATGTTTAAAAACCGAATCGCGACTGGAGACGATGGTGCTGGGCACTTAGGCTTGTGCACTTTCCCACATACGCCGGACACCGACAACGCGCTGGAAACACAACTGAAAAATCGGCTGCGTTCGTGAGTCTCGGAACAGATTCTATGGATGTGCCGAACACCGTGGTTGTACCCGTCGTTGTCTTCCTAAAAGGGAGACGCGTGGCCGCTCTGCAGAACGTGTTGCTGGAACAACGACACCTTTAGAACTGCGGGTGTTTTATTTCATTTCTGTTCTTTCCCGGGCCCTCTCTGACCTCCTCAGAATGTCGTTCCAAAGAAGTGATCGTTCCCCCCTCGCTGCTTAGCTATCAAATGGTGACAGAGTTGATGACTTTTGTTTTGGTTTAGTCGCTGCAATTTTCAAAGTGTCACGAAAACACACGGATGCCAGTAATTTCCAAGCGAATAGCAAAACAACCAGAGAAACAGAGCCGTGCCCCAGCGTGGGGTACCAAACAGATTCGCAGGAGGCACCGACAAACAGTTTTCTCGAAAAGCATAAATAGAGCGGAACAGCCAATTTTATAATTAACTGGGACTTGGTCTCCAGCGAAGCTTCTGCTCAGTGAAAATGGCCAAGCTCTTGCCAGCAGAGTGTGCCTTGTCCCCTCCCTCGGGCACTAACAGGCTGGAGGTGTCTTTGCTCTACCACATTTGCGTATGTTTCAGGATGACACGTTTCTTAGTGGCTCGGAGTGGAGCTCTGTGTGTGCGCAGGACGCTTGGAAGGAAGGCACAAGGGAGGGTCTGTGGGTGGGGCACCGGAAGGACAGGCTATGTGCAAAAAGAACAGGGGGCTTCTATTCAAAATTATGAAGAATTTCAAGATGGTGCCAGCAGAGCACTAAAGCAAGCGCGGCCCCTTCTGAACACGGGGCTCTGTGTGACTGCACACGTCATATACCCCTAAAGCTGGCCCTGGGTCCGGGACCATGCCTCCGGAAGCTGGGGGGACTTCAGTGGGGAGGGTCTCAGGCTGAGGGCAAATCACAGCTTCTGGGACTCCAGGACTCTGGGTCCCATACGAGGGAGGACAGGCAGGCAGCAGGGGTAAAGTCAACACAAACAAACAAACATCCAATAGAACGATCCTTTTTGGAAGACCATTTGGCAAGAGGTGTCAACATTTCAGGAACCCTTTGATTCCGCAGTTCTACTTCTGGCACTCTCTTCTTTATCTGAGCACCAAGGTGCAAGGTAACAAATACTAGAATGCTTCTTGCAGTATTATTCTGGGGTTAATTGATTGCACAGAGTGGAAATTCATTCAGCGTAGCTTGGGAAGAAGAGGGGGTTAAAGGGAAGGGGGCGGGAGTCGGGGCTCTAGGGGTAAACCACACAGCCTGGGGCAGGAGAGGCTGCACCTGGGACCTGGAAAATCAAGCTGCCATCCCTGCCATCTCTCAGAGGCCGCAGAGAGTCCCCTCTGCTTTTCTTGGAAGACGGGCCACTCCAACCCCGCCATCTCTAGACGGCTTCCCAGTTCTCGCACCTGACACCAACCCCCTCAAGCCCTTGGCCCAACACCTTGAAGGGATCAGATTGGGTTCATGATGGAGAAGCAACTCCATGGTCTGGTTCTTTTTCTGTTCAGATCTGGCTGGGGGAGGGGAGGGGACAAGTCGATACTATGTTACAATTGGGAAAACCAGGGCTGTCAGATTCACAGAGAAGTGGGGTAGAGGAGGGGAAGGAGATAAGAGACATTTCAGGCAAAAATTCAGTGAGATTAGTGAAGAGCTGTCCGATCATTTTCTCGCCTGTCCTGGGGTTTAATTTTCTCTTATGAATGTAGACTCCATGTAGACACCATGTACATCCAAGATTGTTCTTGCCCAAGAAGGCGGAGACGAGCAGAGCAGTCTGGCCCTGCTCTGTCCTCTGCAGCATCGCTGGTTTCCAAGGACCCTGAAGGGGTGATGGGTAACCAGTCGATTTGCCGAGACTAGCTATGTGTCTGTCGCCCCTGAAAAACTTGTTCAGGGAGCCTGCCCAGCTCCCAGAGGCCCCAAGCTGGTTTCTGGAGACCCACAAAGGCTTGGGACAGATGCCGTCATGAACAGAGCTTTGCCTGACTTCCCTGCACCTGTCCGCTTGCTACAGCTCTGGCCCCTCCTCAGGCCGAATGAATCAGCTTCCCCAGAAGAGTCCCCTGCGACCACGCCCTGCTGGCTGCTCCCTGCTGTCCTCTGCCGAGAGCTTGTCCATGGATGGCTTTTGGATGGAGGTGGAGCGGATCCAACAGAGGGATGAGCTGAGAGAGGAGGACAGTGGTGACAGCCAGCTCCCAGAGGGTGAGGGACCCTGCTGGGGCCTGCAGGGTGGCTGGGAGGGCCTCATTCCAGGAGGGGAGATGTGAACGGATTCAGACATGAACCAGAACATGAAAGGGTTTTTTCTCTGCTGCCTGGACTGTTGCAGTAGCCTCTTCGCTGGTCTGCCCACTTCACTCCTACTTCCTACCTCCCGTCCTCTGTGCCACAGTCAAAATGATCTTTCAATAATGTAAATGAGATTATGTCCCTCCTTAGATTAAGGTATTCAGGACATATTTATTGAGTGCTTATTATTTGCTCAGCACTGTCTAGGCACTGGGGGTGCAGCAGTGAACACAAAACACAGTCTCTCTGGTGGGGCTGACGTTCTAGGAAAATTCTAAATCCCCTGCTCAAAATCCTCAAATCTCTCCCCATCTCTTTCAAAGTTACAGACAATTATATCCCCCCATTATCTATGACTGTGTAACAAAACCACCCCGAACTTAGCAGTGTAAAGGAACAATAACCAATTGTTATTGCTATTATTACATCTCACCGTTCTGGGGGTTGACTGGGCTCAGCCAGGCGGTTCTTGTTCGGGGTCCCTGACGCAGTTACAGTCAAATGGTGGCTGGAGTTGGGGTCATCTCAAAGGATTTTCACTCATGTGTCTGGTGGTGGAGGTGACCATCAGCTGGGCCTCACCTGGGACTGTTGTCTGGATTACCTACACGTGGCCTCTGCATGTGACCTGGGCTTCCTCATGTCATGGGGCTGGGTTCCAAGCACAGGATTCCTGAGACAGACAGGTAGAAGCTGCCTTGCTGTTTACGACCCAACTTTGGAAGAAAGCATTGCTTCTGCTGCATTCTGTGGCTCTCTGTGCGGCCCATATTCAAGGGGAGGGGAATGAAGCTTCACCTCTCAGTGGGGTGAGAGTCAAAGAATTTGGGGACATATAGTCAAACCATCACATCATAGCTCACCAGGCTTTACAGAATCGGCTGCGCGTCCCCTCCCCCCGCCCCCTGCTGCGTCATCTCCTGCCCCTGGGCTGCCTTTCACTCTCCTCTGAGGGCCTCCTTGCTGAGCCTGTATTGTAGAAGCACATGCCTGCCTCGGGTCCTGTGTCCTCACTGTTCCCTCTGCCTGGAATGCTCTTCTCCTGGTATCTGTGTGGCTTATTCTCTCCAATCAGGACTGGGCTCCGATGTCACCAGTTTCCCTATATAAAATAGCACTGCCAGTCCCATGACCCTTAGCCCCTGCCCTACTTTCTACATCGTTACAGCAATTATCACCACCTGACATTACCCAGTGTCACTTAATTTTGCATTTGCCTGTGTCCCCCACTGGAGTGTAATGTCCACGAGGCCAGGGGCATCGTCAGCCCTTTTCACTGCTGCATCCTCAGTGCCCAGGGCAGAGCCGAGCACATCCCCGCCCTCCAGCCCTTCTTGTTCAGCAAACCGGGGAGTGAAAGGGCTCCACGTGGAAACCTTCTTGGTTTGGTGTGGAATTCAGCTGGGCCAGGCTCTGGTTGACCAAGCCCCTAGTTGACAAAACAGATTGTGTGGGAGACACAGACCTCCTAAGGGCCTGTGGTCAAGTGCAGTGTCTCCAACTGTGGAAAGTAAATATTAATAAATCCCTGGTGACACAAGTGGTGGTTTTAGGAGAAGCCCTGCACTAGAGGTCCTCCGTGTGGCCTGTCTGGCATCGTGACATGGCCAGCAATCTAACTGCAAACAAAGCAGAGCGATTGGAGTCAGAGTGGAGAAGGGAGAAGCCTTTTCGGACAACAGTATAAACATGGGAGCTTTTTTAGACTCGCAGGGCAGAGAGAGCCTCTGTGTGGCACGGAGACAAGGTTAGGACATTCATTTTCCCCATTAACTTCTACTCATGGCAGGTGATGTTGGATGCTCTATCTATGGTGAGGGTATTGTTTCCTTTTAAAAATAGATCCATTTAAGTAAAAAATATGGCCCATGATTAGGGAAAAATATTTGGTAAAATAATTTTACAGGGATAATTGGATACAGATAAAAATTTCAAATGTGGCAGACGAATGTCTGTAGTTCAGGAAACACTGGCTTATTAAAAGGCTCCTGTACAAATGAAGAAAGTCCGGCCTACGATAGAATCAGCGCCTCCACCAGCCCGCGCAAGCTGGGCTGGATCCAGAGCACTGCGGCTGCCCCGCAGGTATTTGTTCTGGTTCGCAAGTGCAGGGAAAACGTTGAGGAGATACTTCCATGTCTGGCTTATTTGCACAACCCAGGCTGCCATAAAAGCATTTGAGATTTTTCATTTGAAATGTTTTAACCATCAGCGCCTTGTGGACTAACTTGGCCAATGCGGGGTACAGCTGAATACACCCCACTCATCCTCTCGAGCATGTGCTCAGCTTCTTCCACAAACTCTTGTCCATTTCCCCCATAACAGAGCCGGCGTTCCTCAGGCGTGATCTGAAGCCCCCACTGCACTACAGTAATCTGGGGAGGACATTCCCAGTGCAGATTCCCAGGCCCTGGGCCTGAACTCCTGGAGCAATCCCTGGAGATGGGTCCTGGGGTCCTGTCATCTCAACATGCCCCTACTGTTTGGATTGATGGTTTTGCTATAGGACCACAGCAGTTTCCTTACAAAGCACAGAGAGGGCTATTCCAACATACCTAACGTCTTGAATACAGGGGACTTCCCAAGGGGACACCAACTGCTTGCCTGGACGGCTGGGCCCACCCATGTGACTTTGTGGTGGTTTCTGCCAGATTTGGGAGGAGAAGTGAGTTCATTGCTACATACCCTTCTTCAGCTGGCTCTGTTTCCAAGGAATCACAATGCTATAGGTTTAAATCCATATACTGGCTGATGCCATTAGTACTTTCCGCCCAGTTCTCAAATGCCTACTTAGGTCTTCTCCCCGTGAAGAGTTTGGTTGGTGGTAATGGGTCTCATGATCAGATATGCGGAAGCTCCTGTGTCCGGGTGAGTGTGTGCTTCCATGGGCGGCTTTGGTCGGTGTGTGTAGCTGAGCACAGAGCTGTGTGTGTTCATCTGGGTGTTCTCCCTCTGTTGGCAGAAGGGGAAGCTGAATCCCAGTGGCTGCAGGACACAGGCCTGTTGGGTCTCCTTGGTGGCCTGGGCTTGGCCAGTGATCACCGGGAGCTCCTTTCCACCCTGACACAAACGCAGGTGGCCGCTGTGTGCCGCCGGCTGGACATCTATACCCGCTCAGCCCAAAGACGACACAAGGCACCTATCAGAGATGTCAGGGACATCTTTGGGGTCTTTAATTCAGGGGTAAGTGACATATGGCTCATTGCAGGCCCTGTCTGACAGGGATCTCTGTAATGCCACCGCAGCCTGAGACATGAAGTGATTCTGCTGCAGGGCTGTGTTGGGATGTGTGTGTGTGTGTGTATGTGTGTGTGTGTGTGTGTGTGTGTGTGTGTGTATTTAGAGCATGTGGGCTTGCACACATGTGTCTCCCTGCATGCCGCTATGTCCCTATGTTGCATGTAGTTCTTTGTCTGCTGTGCATGCCACTGTGTATTTGCCTGTTGCCACTGTGTGTCCTTGGGTGGGCCTGAAAGCTTAGGTTCTCTCTATATAATTATTATCAGTACAAATGTAATACATTTTATTGTCACATATGTATCCTGCTGACACTTGAAGCCTGACATCTTTCTTGGAATAGATTTAAAGTGGCATAACACAGTGCTTAAAACCCTGGACACTGGGGCCAGACAGACCTGGGCCCCAGTGTCCACTCCTCCAGTTAGCAGCTGTGGGATCTTGGGCGAATAACTTCACATCTCTGAGCTTCAGCTGCTGCATCTGTGAAGAAGGGCGTGTGGATGGCTCCTGTCTCCCAGGGTTGTGTGGGTATCCTCTGCTTCCCACATGACTCACTGGGCACTGCCTGTAATTTGCATAGGGAGTGTCTTCAGAGAGTGGGGACTCAGGTGTGAGATGGACCCAGCTCAGTTGCGGGGCTTCCAAGTCTCCTCCAGGTAAGGGGCCTTCATTCTCCAGGGCCCTGGGAATCCTCCGGGCTGTACAAAGGGCCGCTCTCTGAAGAGAATGTGCACAGCTCCGAGCTTTTCCCTCTTCCTGTTGGCTCCTTGCCTTCCCAGCTGGAGGGGAAAAAGGGAGGACCCCTGAGGAGACAAGTTGGGCCCTTAAGTGGGCTATTGTCATGAGGCCCATGGGCCTTAGCCTGAAAATCACTTCCTGGGCAGTGGGCCTTAGCTAGGAAACCACTTTCTGGGTGATGAGCCTTAGCTAGGAAATCACTTCCTGGGCAATAGGCCTGAGCCCTAAGTCTAATGATTTGATCCTGGGGCTTTGAACTTGAACCTGGGAAATCACTTCTTGGGGCCAAGGGCCTGAGTCCCGCACCTAAGAACTTGCTTCCTGGCAGCCAGTCCTCACTGCCTCTCTGTGTCGTTTCCCACAGCAGCAGCAGAGCCTGGGAGGCCACAGGAGCAGGCTGGCCAGGAAGAAGCCTTCAACATGGACTCTGCCTACTCGGAACAAGCTGCAGCGCTCCTGCAGAGGGCCAGGCCATCCTTGGGAGGCACCTGTGCCTGGGGCAAGGGTTCCCTGCCGGTGAGGATGCTGCCCAGAGGGCTGGTGGCCAGGCCTGGTCCTTAGCACCAGCACATCCTGCCCTGCCCTCCTCACACCTTCCCTGCTGCCAGGCATTGAGTGGGAAAGTTGTTGAATGATTCATTTATTTAATCCATACCACGCATATTTACTGAGTGACTGCTGGGTGTCAGGGACGGGGGGAGCAGGGGGCTTACAGTCTAGTAGTGCTACCAGCGTTTTCACTGATGCTATTTTCTTTGCTTTCATCCTTAGAAAGTCCTTTCTCATCCAGCAAATTGATAACTGTCCACCAACATGTGCTTTTTAGCTATTTTTTATGTATTTATTTATTTATTTTAGAAGTCAGTTTTAAACCTAAATCTAGCCTTTTTTGTTAAATTAATGTTGGTGCCTGGTATGAGAGAGAGAAGGATTATTTCCTTTTTTTTCCAAATGTTCAATTGTCCCAGCACAGTTCCTTTCAAATTTGGCTGTAATCATTGATACTTAGCATTTTCAGATTGAAGCATAAATCATGTTAAAATGTGCAGAGATTTACCGTACACAGCTTGATGTGTGTACCTGTGTAACTACCACCCAAACAATCAAGATATAGAAACTTTCCCCCCCACCCCCAACGGCTCCCCCATGCCCCTCCCAGTCATCCCTCTCCCCGCAGGGTAAACACTATGCTGACTTCTCTCGTGGAGTGCATAGTACAGTCCTGCTCTTACTAAAGGAAGAGTTTCTTCACTGACCACATTATGATGCGGTTAGATGATGCTGGTACCATTTTACTGAGGGATACCCTGGCCCCAGGCATTGTTCCCAAGGCTTCCCATGCACTGGCTTGTTTCCTCCCCTTGTCCTTGGAGATGGGTGCTGTTATTGCTTCGCCACTCTTTGACAGCAAAAAGAGAAATGGAGCTCAGTGAGCAGAAGTGACTGAGCTGGCCCCAAGGCCAGGACTGGAAACCGTTGGAACCTGATGCAGAGCCTTTCCCAACTGACCACTACGCTCTACTGCTTAGGAAGTTTGCCCACCCCCTGCAATGACCTCTATTCCAATGTGAAAGTAGTTCCACTCATTCAAATGGAATTTTATTTTTAAACTTTTTAACATAAACTGTTATTTTGAAATGATTTAAGACTCACAAGAAGTTGCAAAAATAGTACAAAAGTTCCCATGTACTCTACACCTAATTTCTCCAACCACAGCACATCAAATAAAATTTTTGAATAATGAGTTTCTATTCCTAAAGCATCAGAGATAATGAATATTCAACATTATCCTGTCTTCCTTGATTTTCTGTGTTAAATTATGAATGATGATGATAATTAATAATGCTAATGATATCACATATTGATCCTTTACCACAAACCAGGCATTATGCCAAGTACTTTACGTACACGATTTAATTTCATTCAGTTATGTCGGTAGTAATTGTCTGTGTAAATAAACTAAAACAAAGTAATAGTAATTATCGAGTACTCACTATGTGTCAGGCATTATGTTTTATATGCTTTATTGGATTTAATCTCCCCAACAGTCCTGTGAACTAGATTCCGTTTTTAGTTCCATTTTGCAGATGAGAAAATCAACACAGAGACAGGTAGAATTATTTGCTGGAACTCACAGGTAAAATCAGGGATTTGAACCCAGGAAGTGTGACTCCATAGCCCATGCACCAAGCACCAGGCTGTATTATAACCATAATGTTATTAAATACAACCACAGCATGCTTCCCTCCCCTTTGAGCACTCGAATGGGGCTCTGGGGAGTCATTCGATCAAGCCCTCCAGGCAACACGGGACAAATCTGTCCCTCTTGCTGGCTGGTCTGGCCTTTGGCTGCAGGAATGCCTGGAGCTGCCTGCAGCTCCCCCGCGTGGCCTCTAGATGGCGCGGTCGAGCATCGTTTGTTTCTGTGCGTGGTATGGCCGAGGGTGAGGGACAGAGGACAAGAATAGGAGCGATGAATGAATGCTAAGAGGCTCCTGGGGTGATTTCCCTTCCCCAGGCCCTCTCGTGGGAACGCAGGTAGTGAAAACGGCTTCCACTTCCTGGGTCCTGGCTGCGCACTTGACACTATGCTGACACTTAACGCCCAGTAGCTTGTTTTAGTCTCAGAACACCCGACGAGGCAGGCCCTGCGTGATGGCTCCAGGTGGCGAATCAGCGGCTCAGAGCGTCGCGGGTTAGTAAGAGGTCAAGCTTGGACGCACTGTAGCACAGAGTCCTGCGCTCCCACTCTTACCCACTCTGCTCCCCTGCGCCGATGCCCGGAGGGCCCGGGGCACCCAAGGTGCATATCGGACACGCTCGGTCACTTCTCCTCGCCGAGCTCCTTACCGTTCAGGGCTTGACAAATTGCTTTTCTTCCCTCTCTAGACGTTCCGAATCCACAAAGGCAGACTTGGCGTGACGAGGATAGGAGACTTATCCCCGCAGGATATGAAGAAGGTCCCTCCTCTGGCCCTCATAGAGCTGACCGCGCTCTGTGACGTCCTCGGCGTGGACCTGAGGAGGAGCAAGGCGGGCAAGTGGAAAGCGGCGGGTGAGCCGTCCCAGCACAGGAAAACCCTGTGACCAACGTCCTAGCTTTCTCACCTGGGGAGCCGCGGGACTCTCCCACCAAGACATGCTTCTGTATTTCCTCTGGTTATGCAATTTTTTTTTCTGCATGTGAAAACAATTCCTGGAAATTTGGGAAATAGAGTAAAATACAAAAAGGAAAAATATAATTCAGATATTATATGAGCACGGTTAACTTTTAGTGTATTATCTTCCTCTGTGTATGTGTGTGTATATATCCTTTTTCACTTAATATTATAGAATTTTGGACATTTCCCAGTTATTGCATCATTCAATGATTGCCACCATAACGCTATGTAACAAACAACCCCTAAACTCTTACTCTTGCTCACGTGTTTGTGGGCAAACTGGGGGTGGTTTGGCTGATGTAGGCTGGACTTGGCTCCAAGCTGTTGGCTGGGTCTAGGTCGGCCTCACGGGTCTCCCATCCTCCTGGCCCTGGCAGGCCATCTGGAGCATGTCCTCATGCTGATGGCAGAGGCACAGAGGGTGAACCCCACCACACAATGCATCTTAAGCCTCTCCCTGCACATGTAGGTTACCATGCCATGGGTCCAAGCCAGTCACACGGCAGAGCCCAAAGCAAGGGATGAGGAAGTATACTCTGTCTCTCGAATGGGAAGAATTGCAAATTCACATGGAAAAGGGTGTGGATACAAGGGAGGCGGTGGTGAATTTGTAATAATAATATCATTTAGCATAACTCTTCAACATTCTTTGAAAACATGATTTTTAATCACTGTGCTATTTTCCTCCTTAAGGATATATCTTAATATATTTCACCATTTTCCTAACAGTGACCATTTATTATGCCTATGTTTTTCCTATTATAAAACACAATCACAATTGCTGTACATATAACTTTGATTTTTAATTTTTTTTTTTTGTAGAGACAGGGTCTCGTTCCTGCTCAGGCCGGTCTTGAACTCCTGAGTTCAAGCGATCCTCCTGCCTCAGCCTCCCAGAGTGTTAGGATTACAGGCGTGAGCCACCACACCCAGCCTAAACTTTGAATGCATCTTAGATTATTTTAGAATATACTTACTAATTAAGTTCTTGATACATACTGCCCTTCAATAGTATATGAAAGTGTTCATCTCACTGCATCACGGTCAACATTACACATCGCAATTTTTCATTTGTTTCTCTAAAGAGGATGATTATATAAGAAAGACCAGAGGGAGAGCGAGGTCTAGCAGAGGTAGGGTGGGTGGTGAAGGAAGAAAGAAGGAAATTGTAGAGGAGACGTGGCAGGAGGAGTTTTCCCAAGAAGACTTCCCTGAGCCAGGATGGTAGAGGAAGACCTGGGAAATACATTTCTTAGGAACTCAGCCCATCCCTACAGAGATGGCCCCGCTACCCCAGGATGCTGTCACACATCGTGCCCGGTACTCCCTGGAGCAGTGGCACGTTTCAGTACCTCTCTGTCCAGCTGAGATTGTCGGCTCTGTGACATATCTAACGTTTTCATTATTGCTGAGGCCAATGTTTTGCTCACGAGCTGTGGGGAAGTTTGGGTTCAGCCATTCTCTGGAGAGCTCAGTCCTTTCACAGGGAAAGGGGTCTGATTCTAGTCTCCCAGGAGATCTTGCAGGCTGGAGCCCAGCTGTCATTCCAGGAAGTGAAATTGCACTTTCTGCTCTTCTGACTTCCTGCAGAAACTCGTCTCTTCGGCGTGCCCCTCGACAGCCTGCTAGAAGCTGACCACAAAGTCCGCCCCAGTGCACAGGTCCCGCTGCTCCTTCAAGCCGTAAGTTGTCCCCTGCTTGGGTTTGTTTAACCCTTCAGAGGCCGGCTCTGGGCTCCATTTTCGGGAGATGTCCAGCATAGGGGTGAGAGCGTGGGCTTTAGAATCAGACAGACCTGGGTCCAAATTCTGGCTCTGGTACCTGCTAGCTCCAACACCTGGGGTGTGTTTTTGAACTTCTATTAGCCTCCCTTTCAACATCTGTAAAATGGGATTATAATAACAGTATCTTCCTCTGATTAATGATTATATGAGAAAAATGTATATAAAGCTCTCAGAATGCCTGGCTTGTGGAAGTGGTCAAGAAAAGGATTACTATTTGGGGGCACCCTTGGTACTCTCCTCTTCCTGGTTTTCATGGGAGATAAACACACCAGTCTGAATGCCCACTTTTCAGTGGCTGCTGGTTTAAATGTTGGTTTTGTTCTCTGATAGCTGCTGTCCTGTTTGGAAAAGAGAGGGCTGGACACGGAAGGCATCCTCAGGGTGCCTGGATCCCAGGCCCGGGTCAAGGTAATGGTTTGACTTCCCCCACTTCACCGAGGCTGCACCTCGCCGTTTTCCCACGTGTGTGTTAAGCCAGGAGAGAATCCAGTCCCTGGCTTCTTGGTGTTCTGTCCTTGGTCTCTGGTGGGTCGTGGGATTCCAGGAGGGTTTGAGAGGATGGAGGTGGCACGTTAGTATGGTGTTCGAGAGCGTGGGCCCTGGAGTCAGACTGATAATATCTGTTGAGTGGACCCCTGTGCTTGGTGACTCACATGCACGAGGCCATTTAATCCTCACATCTACCCCGCGAGGGACGTGCTATTGTGGTCCCCGCTTTGCAGAGGAGGAAACAGGCTCAGAGAAATGGTAGCGCAACTTCTACTGGAGCACTGGGCCAACTGTGTATGCACACCCTCCTTCCTGTAGGGGCTGGAACAAAAGCTGGAGAGAGACTTCTACATTGGCCTTTTTAGCTGGGACGAGGTTCATCACAACGATGCGTCCGATTTGCTCAAAAGGTTCATCCGGAAGCTGCCAGCACCTCTGCTCACCGCCGAGTACCTCCCGGCCTTCGCCGTGGTGCCCAGTGAGTGTGCTCCGAGCCCTTCGCTGTGGAGAGAAGGAGAGTTTGATGTCACTGGCCTTGGTTGCAGAGGGGAAGTGGTGTGAGGACAGGACTCCCTGTTCCCAGGAATGCCTGTTCCTGTGACCTCGAGCTGATGCTGGAGGAAGCCCGTGTGAGCTTGCGTGCCCAATGAGTGTGCATATGCATGTGCACATGTGTTATGTGTGTGCTATGTGCACACGCACAAGTGCACACATGTGTGTGATGTGACGGGGAGAAGAGGAGGCCGAGGTTCTGTACGCCACAGTCCTTATTAGTCCTCGCATGGACCAGTGCACTAGTTTCCTTCACTTCTTTTTTTATTGTTATTTTAATAGATTTAAGGCATACGAGTTGAATTGTTACGTGTATAAATTGTGTAGTGGTTTCTTCACTTCTTGGCATCCATAGAATTGAGCTTATGAGGTTCATCTAACCGTATTTGTGGACACACATTTGGTGCATGTCTGTCTATGACCACGTCTGCAGATCAGCATGTAATGCACAGAGCCCTCTCTATGTTTTTTGTTTTGAGACAGAGTCTCGCTCTGTTGCCTGGGCTAGAGTGCAGTGGCCTAATCATAGCTCACAGCAACCTCAAACTCCTGGGATCAAACAATTCTCCTGCCTCAATCTCCCAAGTAGCTGGGACTACAGGTGCCCGCCACCACACCCAGCTAATTTTTCTATTTTTTGTAGACACAGCGTCTTGCTATGTTGCTCAGGCTGGTCTCCAACTCCTGACCTCAAGTGATCTTCCTGCCTTGGCCTCCCAATGTGCTGGGATTTTAGGCATGAGCCACTGTGCCGGCCCCGTCTCTGTTTATATCCTGCATGTATATGTTCCTGTCTGAACTTCTTCACAATTCACAGCATGCAACCATAATCACTTCTATTTTTCTCAAAAGAATAAAACAACCTGCCTGAGATCCCACTTGCTACCTTGAGGATCTCTCTCTCTCTCTGTCTCTCACTCTCTCTCTCTCTCCCCCATCCCCCTCCGGATTCTCTAAAAAGCTTCAGGGCTCAGGCAGTCTGATTTCTACCCCCAAGCCAGGGGCAGGGACCTGAGAGGTCCTCTCTGGCCTTTGCTTCTCACAACCTAGTTTTAAAACATAAATCAGGCTGGGTGTGGGGGTGTGCAATTGTAGTCCCAGCACTTTGGGAGGCTAAAGTAGGAGGATCGCCTGAGGCCAGGAGTTTGAGACCAGCCTGAGCAACACAACAAGACACTGTCTCTAAAAAAAATTAAAAGTTAGCCAGTCATGGTGGCGCATGCCTGTAGTCCTAGCTACTCAGGAGGCTGAGGCAGGAAGATCACTTGAGCCCCAGAGTTCAAGGCTGCAGTGAGCTATGATGATGCCATTGCACTTCTTCAGCCTGGGTGACGGAGCAAGACCTAGTCTCAAAAAAAAAAAGAAAAAAAAAGTCATAAACCAGATTGTGTTCCATGTCCCTGTGCTGCTTCACACCTTCCACAACACTTTGTAATAAGTTCTCCTCGTGGGGCCTGTCTCTGACCCATCTCCTCCTGTCTCCCCTCCCCACATCCACCAGGTTTGCCTGCCTTGATGTTCCCCTTCCCTTTCCTGGTCAGGGCCTCTGCCTTGCTCTTCTTTCTCACTAGAACCCCCCAGTTTGGCTGCTTCTTGCTGCTCAAATGTCAGCCTAACGTCAGCACCTTGGAGAGGCCTTCCCTGGCCCTACCTGCTGGCGCGCTGCCCAGCCTGTGTACTGACGTACGGATGCCTGTCATTACTGTTTCATTTTCTCCGTAAGAGGAATCCGTGTCTGGAGATATTTAGTTATTTCTTTGCTTGGTTATTGTCTGTCCCTCCTGTGAAACATAAGCCCTATGAATCTGTAACCTTGTTTGCTTCCTTCTCTACTGTGTCCCAGGTTCCTGCACTGGAGCATGACACCTAATAGGTACTTGATAGATTTTGTTGAGAAGTGAGTGAATGAATGAATCAATGAATGAATGAATGAATGAATGCCACACGGATCCTAGGGACGAAGCCCTGGGCGCTCAGCTGCTCTGTCCCCTACGCAGCGATTCCCCAGCTTCCAGCTAGCCCTCGGCTGCTGGGTCTGGTCTGGCTCTGATGAACTGTCTCTTTGAATTCTATAACTGCCACCCCCTCTTCTCCCTGGAGATCCTGACCCATGTACAGGAGAGCTTGTCCTTCTCATCCTCCATGACACAAAAGGTTTCATTAGACCTTCTGTCCAGGACAGTTGAGCCATCCATCTCCCCTCTGAAGGGTGAGTTGCTGGCCCACTGCCCTTCCGACCCTGGGTTGTAGCTCTCAGCCTGTATATCTGGGGGGGGTATGTGTGAGTGTTTTTACTTTTTATTCACAAAGTATAGTGAGTGAGCCTCTGAGCTGACATTAGACCAGGAACAGTTCCAGCCCTTATGAGAAAGGGTTCCTGGCTGTCCCTGAGCTCTCCAGCTCTGGAATCTCCCCAGGAAGAGGCCAGACCATGGGAGGGAGACACCCCGGGCCTCCCCTGGAGACTGAGGCCTCCCGCTTCCCGCAGACATCCCCGACCTGAAGCAGCGTCTGCAGGCCCTGCACCTGCTCATCCTCCTCCTCCCGGAACCCAACAGGAACGCCTTGAAGGTAAAGTCACCACCAGCTGCCTCCACTTTGTCATCTCAGCCCGCAAACACATAATGGCTCCAAATGTGCTTATTCATTCATTTGTCCATTTGAAAACCATGCCAAGTGCTGGGGGGCAGTGATGACCCACGCAGACCTTTCCTGGGACTTTTTGCTAAAGAAAGCAGATGAAACCTGAAAGGGGGTGGTCCCAGCCAGAGTGGGCACCACAGAACATCAGTTCTACGTGGTGCTGGCAGGTATTACAGGGGAAAGGGCTCTGTGTCCAAATAAGATGGGTAAACACGGAGTTAATGAAACGAAGGATAATTTTCCTGCAGGACTTCTCAGAGCCTTTGATATGCCAAGGCTTTGTGAATCTCTAAGTGGAATTAGAGCACTTTCCAAACTCTGTTGATCATGGACCTCTTTTGTTGTGGAAAGCATTGCATGGCACTGGTATTCTGTGGGGAACCAGTTTGGAAAGCAATCCCCTAGGGAATCCCCATGGTGACATACGGGAGTGCATGCTCAGGGCTTAGCCCCCTGTAACCTCCTGACTATGCTTGGATCAGACTCAAGATGTGCCTCCAAGTGAGCCCCGGAGGGGGCCCCGTGTCTTCTTTGAATTTCTGTTTCCTTTTCAGTAAACTGAGGATAATAATAGCCTCTTGTCTTATTGTTTTGGAAATTATAAGAGCTAATACTCCATAAGAAATCATGGAGTGGAAGATGCGGTACTTTGCAGATGCTCAGTATGTCCCCTTCCTTCCCTCCTTCCTTCCTCTCTCCCTCCCTCCCTCCCTCCCTCCATCCCTTTCTTCCATCCATTCTGCCTTCCTTCATTTCTTCTTTCCATCTGTCTTTCTTCTTTCCTCCATTCATCCACCCTTACACATCCATCCATCCATTCATATTTCTCCCTTTATTTCTTCCATCCCTCCCTCCCTCCTTCCATCCATTCATCCTTACTGGCTGTGTGGCCCTTGGCACATTCTCCAAGCCAGCTTCCTTCTCTATAAAATGGGTACAGTAGTAAAGCCTGCCTTGTATAGTTATTGTAAGGATTAAAGGACACGATAAATGCATGCAAGGTACTAACTGAAGACCAGGGACAAAAGAATCCTTAGTAAATGGCAGCTACTACCATCCTCCCCCTTTCTCCCCAGTGGTCCTGCTTCCCTATTCTCTCCCTTGCATTTTGGGCAGAGCCAGACTCCAGAAAGGAGGAACTGTCCTGGGGCTCCCCGGGAAAAGGCCTGCGGCTCTTTTCTACCTGGAAGTTGAATTCTGACCCAGATGTCTCATTAACCTCCAAGGGAGCAGGGAAGGGAGAGAGTTTTGGTCACATTTTGCAGAGCAGGAGACTGAGACACAGAGAGGTCACAGGGTGGGCCCCTAGCAAAGTGGAACTGAAACCCCCTTTCCTGCCGTCCCAGCCCCTGCTCCTTCCTAGTGCCCCCACGTCACGCATCAGGATGTTCTGGGGAAGGTGGGAGCCACCAGGGGTGTACTAGGATTTGAGGGAGGCTCTGCGCCCTTCCCTAGGCACTCCTGGAATTCCTCAGGAAGGTGGTGGCCCGGGAACAGCGCAACAAGATGACCCTGTGGAACGTTTCCACTGTGATGGCCCCTAATCTCTTCCTGCACCAAGGGCGGCCCCCCAAGCTCCCCAAGGGCCAGGAGAAGCGGCTGGCAGAGGGGGCGGCCGAGGTGGTGCAGCTGATGGTGCACTACCAGGACCTGCTGTGGACGGTGAGTGCTGCCAGGCGCCAGGGGGCCGAGGGGGGTGTCCTCCAGGGTCGTGGGCACCGTCCTTTCCAATCTCTCACGTATCTCCTCCGGGACCTTTGTGGACTCTATGCCCAGTTCAGTGTTTCCTCCCTCCCCCGCCTTAGTGTCAGAGAAGAGGTGTCTACGCCTTCTGTCTCCACTGCCACGCCTGTCAATTGGTGGCCATCTGGTCTAGCCCAGGTTGCAGGTGTCCCCTGAGCTCCCACAAAGAATTCCACACAGCTTTGGTGATGCTGAGAAAGCCCCACCCCTGAGGCTCAGGAACACAGGACCTGCCTAAGAACCTCGCCTGCCCCCTCCATGAGCTTTGCCCTGTGTAGCAGGCAACAGCAAGAGGAGGGGCAAGAGCAGGGGGAGACAGCTCTGTGGAGTCAGCATGCAGGTGTGCTGAAGGCCAAGGCAGCACTGAGGAGGCCCCTCCAGCACTCGAGATGCCCACAAACGCGAGGCAGCGGCATCTGCCACTGCCAATCAGATGTGTAGCCTCTTCCCTCCATCTGCCCATTCATCCTTCAATTATCTCCCATCCATCGGCCCACCTGCCCACTCACCCATCTATTCATCCATCCACCCACCGCCCTCCTCCTATCCCTCCCTCTATCCTTAAAGCCATTAGCTTAGATTTCTTACTCTGAAATCCAGCAAGTGAAGCCCCCTCTGACTGTTCCCAGTTTCTCCCACCCCACCCAGCTGGCTCTCCAAACTCATCTTGTACTTCACACTCCTGAGTTCCTGCTTATGCAGTTCACTCTGCCTGGAGTTCCCTTTCTTTTTTGACAGGGCAGAAGCCCGGAACCCTCTGCTCATTCTTCAAGACCCAGTTCAACAGTCAGCTCTGTTGAAAGCCCCTGCTCCTCCCCATACGCCCCGTACCCCCCATAGTTCCTTTCTTCTCTGCGCTTAGCCCTCCGAGATGATGTCACTACTCAAACACGTTGGATTATAGTACCTTTTTATTGGAGGGAGTTTTTAAAATTCCAGAAACTCTTAAATGCCTTCTTGTTATAAAAGCTTCAGACAACATAGATGTAGGTAAAGTGAAATGGAGAACACTCCCCCCCCACGCACACACCGCTGGGGCTCTTCCATATGTAGCGTCTTAATCAGGCTGCATGCACAACAGAGAGAGGGGCCAGAATCCACCCCAGTTCTGTCAGCCCCCCGGAAACGCGCGTTGTCGTCAGGCTCCGTGAGCCTGAATTCTCTGAGTCTGCCCACAGGGTCGGGATTGGACAGAGGCATGGTTTGATCTGAAGGTCTCCAAAGGGGACCCCCCCCCCCCAGTGTGGACTGTCTGGGGGCTCTCAGAGCAGGAGCCCACTCCAGGTGTGTTCTTGGGACACCCCTGCCTGGGTGTGCCAATGAGCAGCCGTCCTTAGCAAATGCAGGACCCTCCGTCCTGCATCAAGGAGACCCTGTCCACCAAGCCCCAGTGTGGGCTCTGCTGCCAGGGGCCGCGACTCCGGGGGCCCTCTTTAGGGGCTCAGTGCCCCCTCCTCCCACCACACTGGTGCTTCAGTGCCACGTTCAACAGATAGGTGTTTGCAAGCCCTGTGCGGGATGCTGGGGCAGGGAGGAGGCCACGGTGACCCTGGAGGGCCTCTGCCTCTCCCCGCAGCTGCCCCTGCGAAGACTTGATTCTTTCTGGCCAGGTCGCCTCTTTCTTGGTGGCGCAGGTGCGAAAACTGAACGACAGCAGCAGCCGGCGCCCCCAGCTCTGCGACGGGGGCCTCAAGACTTGGCTGCGGAGGATACACGCAGACAGGGACAAGGCAGGGGACGGCCCGGAGGCGGTGAGTGCCCCGCAGCCGGCGGACCGAGAAAGGTCAGGAGGCGCGTCCCCGTGTCAGGAACGGCCTAGTGGGGCCACCAGGGGGCGCCCGGGCGCCGCCGCAGCAACCTAGGGGGCGGGTCTCGGTGGGGAAGGGGAGCCGCGGTGGCCAGGGCGCTCCTCCTGGGAGCCGTCTCCTCAGCCCATTTTTAGGCAGCCCCCTGTGCGCCTGGCCGAGGGTTGGGAGAGTGGGGTCGCTCTGTGGGGTGTAGGGTGGTTGGGCTGGCAGCGGGGAGCAGCAGGGAAGGGCCCTCCAAGATACTGAGTGTTCCTGGGGAGAGTCCTGAACACGTTCCTCACCAAAGCCCAGCTCAGAGAACCTGCCCAGCGTGGGGTCTGCACTGCACGTGCCATGTGTGCGTGGTGGGTCTTATATAAACCTACCTGCGTGCGTGTGGAGGTGCGCTGCGTGCCCGCCTGTGTGGGTGGGTACGAGTTCTCCTGTGCAGGCGCGTTTCAATGCCTGTGTGTGTGTTTGCACACACGGGGGATCTGGCGTATATGTGCATGCGTGCACCCTGTGATTTTGTTAGCCTGGTCGTTTGTGTCAGGGTGCATGGGTGCGTGTTTTTGCACGTGTCTGAATTCCAGCCATGCGTGCAGTGCCTATACGTATGGGTTTCTCTCTCTCTGCAGACTCTCAAGGTGGCGAAGATCCAGGTGGCCTGGCCTACCAGTGATGCCCTGAAGGTGCCTCTGACCCCCAGCACCAGAGTGGCCCACGTCCTGAGGCAGTTCACAGAATGCTGCAGCCTTGGTTTGAAGGGTCAAGAGGGCGGTGAGGACGCAGACAGCCTCCTCCCCCGGTGAGGGGCAGCCCCGGGAGGCAGGGAGCAAAGAGTGGGCACAGGGAGCAGACAGCGCCTTGGAGCCCTGGGCCTGGCCTTTGGCCCTTCCCTTTCTGGGCTGGTCAGGCAGCGTCTCCAGGCTTCCAGAGCTTCTTGGCTCCAAATAATAATGATAATGACCACCACTTATTCACTCATTCATTTTAGTAGGTGTCTAATGAATGGCCAGGCACCCTGTGGAATGCTAGAATAGCCACGAGGAAAACAGACTGAGGTCCTGGTCTCACAAGCTCGCAAGCCTGTGGAAGACAGGGACATAGATCAATAGTCATGACATAAATATCAAGGTGCAAACTGTTACGTTTTATAAGCAATACAAGGAACAATGTGAATGTAAAACACGGTATCTGGTGTAGTCTGGGGAGTGAGCTAAGGTTTCCGGGCACAGAAAATTGCACGAGCAAAGGTCCGGAGGCAGCAAGGAACAGAGCATGGGCAAAGAGCTGAAAGGAGGCCGGGGGTTGGGGGCTGACGTGTGCAGCTGCCCTTCTCAGGATGCAAGAAACAGCCTGAGCCCTCGGGAGCTTCCTTCTTGGAGTTGACACAAGAAGGTCCTTAGTAAGTGTCTGGTCCAGAAAAGTTAAAGCCCAGAGAGGAGAAGGGGTGTGCCTGGGGCCACATGGCAGGTTGGAGGCAGATCCTGGAATTGAACTCAGGATACCCATAATTATCATACAATAATTATATAACACTTGTATGATAATTATAATTATCCTCTGTAATCCTACAATATTCTTAATCCATCTTGACTCAGAATCTGCCTCTCACAGCAGGCTCCTGTCCCCATCTGTCACCCTTCATCCCACTGCCCCCACAGCCTCCATTCCAGTGCCCAGTAGGAAGGGGCTGTGGGGTGGGTGCTCCCTCTTCCCGGCCCCTGAGTGCTGGACTCCTTGGTTGGCTCCAGCTCTGCCAGGAGGGCCCTTGTGCCCCTTCTCTCACCCAGGACCAAAAATCTTGAGGACGGCCCTTTCCAGGCCTAGGGGGTCACACACAGTTGTTGACCTTACTGCCTCCAGAAGAAGAGGCCAGCAGCGTTTTTCTCTCTGTCTTGCAGCCACAGGTCCATGGAGTTGGCCAACATCCTCCTCTGTGAAGTTGGAGGAAATATAAGTAAGTCCCTCTTGGCAAGTGGGTCCAGAGCCCAGGTCCCTGGGAGTTCTTTGACTT